GAGCTGCTCGGAGAACATCCTGTTGACGAGCCGTTGATACATTGCGCCAGTGATATGTCTATATTTTACTTGTTTTGAGCATCCATTTAGCATCACTTTATCATCATTTCGTCATTGTTTCATACCATTCTTCATCATTTTTCATCACTTTGCATGATTAGGATAGTTTTGCATGCATGTTGCATATTTGAGTTGTTTTCAGGTGATTTGGAGCTGTTGGTGAGCAAATTGGAAGAAGTGGACCAGAACCCATCAGTATGCTCGACCACGAGGTCGAGCACCATCATCATGACCTTCCAAATGCACTCGACCACGACCAAGTCGAGCACCAAGTCGATCACCAACTCGATCACCAACTCGATCACCAAGTCGAGCACCAAGTCGATCACCAACTCGATCACCAACTCGATCACCAAGTCGAGCACCTAGTCGATCACTAACTCGATCGCCAACTCGAGCACCAAGTCGATCACCAAGTCGATCACCAAGTCGAGTACCCTCTTCTTCAGCCACTCGACTGGATGCTCGATCTCCACTCCCCACAGCCACTTAATCACAAGCTTCAGAGTCTTCTCAGATCCCAACTCAACCAGAGACTGAGCATAAGGAAGAGAAGAGGATGAAGCACTACTCGACTCACCACTCGACCTAGGTACTCGATTGCATCACGACCAGATCAAGAAACCGCAAAGGCACCAGCTTTACTCGACCTCTCTACTCGATTGCACGAGCCGAATGTCTCCGTAAACCGCCTTAATACTTTGTCGTCTTGTGATTTAGGGTTTCCTAGTATTTACTATAAATAGGTTGTTTCTCTTAATTTTCAGAACTAAGTTTTATTCTGTCTAAGTTATTTTTCTGCAGAACAATTAGTGCTTTCTTCATCTTTGTAATCCAGATTTCTCTTAATCTATTGAGTATTTGCTTTTGATTTCTTTTACAAAGTTGTTCATCTTGTTGAGATCTTGCTAATATGAAGTTTTTATGTATTTCTGGGTTTGTGTTCTTGGTTATGAATTTTGAGTAGTTATTAGGGTTCTTGAGGATGGGTTAGAGTAGTTTAGAATCCTTGATCTGCTAGGTGGTTGAGTTTGATTGGTAGATCCCTTCTGGATTAGTTGTTCTTAATGTTGATTGCTTTCTGATCAACTGGAATCTGTGCCCAGACATTTCCGCACCCAAAAGGTGTTCGATGAAATGTCTGAACCACTAATTCCAGAGATTCGTGGCTCTGTACCAAGGTATTGGTTACAGGGAGCGTTTTGGCTTAGACTTGTTGTTTCGTAATGCCTGTTAGGTTAGCTCTCGTCAATGGTGATTGAGTCTGGGACTAGCTTTGCTTGAGGATCTCTGTTGCGGTAGCACTTTGGTTTGGTTATTGAACTTGTTGTCTAGGGATAGTTTGTTGAGCATGTTAACCACCTGTTAGATTAAGGAGACTTCACTACTCGATTACCCCATCCTCAGGAATTTCTCTTCCAATTGATTTCTTTGTTCACATCGCTATTGATTGCTTGATCTCGTTACTTGTTGCTTAGTTTTTGCATTTTTACTTATTTCACTTGAATTACTCGACCACACCCAGCGGTTTGGAAACGGACTGTGTGGTAGAGTAGTTTTACTGCAGTTTCCATTTGGTACTCGACCTGGCACTCGACCACATCCAGTGCTTGGCATCAAGCTGTGTGATCGAGTGTGTTGTCTGTTTCTGTTAGAATTATTGTTTTCTGCATGATCACTGGAACTGTTAACAACCTCAAAACCTGTTATTGCTTGGCTTGACTCTGTGAAATCTGATTGCATCTTGATTGCTAGCATCACACCCATTTGGATTGACACCTTAAATACTACAACGACATGATAGTAATTTAAGGATAATTGATCTTAGTCAAAATCCTACTATCAATTTGGCGCCGTTGCCGGGGATCGAACCCGGGTCACCCGCGTGACAGGCGGGAATACTTACCACTATACTTACCACCTCGGTCTGTGATGAAGGCTGTCTTCTCGCGGTCGTCGGGGTGCATGAGAATCTGGTTGTATCCCGCAAAAGCATCCATGAACGATAGCAACTTATTTCCCGCAGTTGCTTCTACTAAACGATCGATATGTGGGAGCAGAAAACTGTCTTTGGGACAAGCTTTGTTAAGATCAGTGAAGTCGACGCAAACTCTCCACTTGCCGTTCTTCTTTTTAACCACGACAGGATTTGCGAACCAGTCTGGATATCTTGCTTCGGAGATTGAACCGATCTTCAGGAGTTTTTCTACTTCTGCATTTACGGCATCCGCGCGATCCCGACCCAATTTTCTTCGCTTCTGCTTGATGGGCTTGAAAGATGGGTCAACATTCAACTCGTGGCAGATTACGTCGATGCTTACTTCAGGTAGATCTTCAGCCGACCAGGCGAAGGTGTCAATGTTCTCCTTGAGGAATGAGATGAGCTCGGTCTTGATCTCCTCGGTTAAGTCGCTGCCGATTTCCACGCACCGTTCAGGCCGTTCCTCGTCGAGGCTAATGGAGATTACAGGATTTAAGGTAGGCTTCTTCTCCTCGCGTGCCTCCTCGATCTGTAATTGCTATAACTGTTTAGATATAGCCTTCTCTTCGCTCCGGCCGAGTTTCGATTTTTTGTGGTCAGATTCGGCCTTGGCTTCAGTGACCGGGTTTCGGAGCTTGTGTGCTGCCATGAAGCACATCCGTGAATTTTTCTGACTTCCCCAAATCGTTTTCACGCCATTGGGGGTCGGGAATTTGACACAGAGATGATACGTTGATGCGACAGCTCGCATTAGATTTAGCCATGGCGTCCCCATTATGACGTTGTAGATGGTAGGTTGGTCGGTGACCGAGAAGTTGACTATCTTTGTTATCCCGCCGGCTCGGACTGGTAATTGGATGGTTCCAAGCGTCATTAAAGTTTCTCCTGAAAACCCAAGGACTGGCCTCGGGGTCGGAGTTACCTGTGACATGTCGATGTTCATTTGTCGGAGCGTTTCACGAAAGATTACGTCGATGGTGCTGCCGGTGTCAATTAATACTCGGTAAATATCATGGTCTCCTATCGCTAATGTGACGACGATTGGATCGTTATGAGGCATGTCGAGCCCGTTTGTCTCGCTTTCTTCGAAAGTGATCACGTCGTTAGGTCGATCGAAGGGTCTTGTCCAGTTGCTAGGCGTTTCGGCTCGGCGTTGATAAGCCTTGATTGCCGCTACGGTGTCAGGACAGTATGGCGATCCACCCATTATGGTGAGAACCTTCTGCCGCGTACCATCTCGGTCTTCGTCTTCCGTCCTCCGGGTTCTTTTCTGAGACTCCTGGTTCCTCGGCTCGGGGTCTCTCCCCGGGTTGGTCTGCTCGCGCTCTGGCTCTGGTTCGAGGTCCTTAAGAGTGACGTTCGTTCCGAGCTCTCCAGCTAGGAATTTGGTTGCTAACTTAGCGCCGAGGCTTCGGCATCTCGAGGTATGGTGGCCGAAAATTTTGTGGTGTTCGCAATATTCTTGATCATTGCTCGGTGGCTGATCCCTTGTCCAGGTGAAGGACTCTCTTCCTCGCCCACGGCCTCGGCCTCTGCCGCGGCCTCGGCCTCGCGGCGTGTCAATCTGGTAGTTATGGTATCCTGAGAAAAAAAAGGAATGAAAAGGAACAAAAAGGAAAAGAAAATGATCAAAACCAGGAACCAAAAGGAACATAAGAATTGAACAAATGATTATGGTAAATGGTAACCAAAAAATTGAACAAATATTTAACATAATAATTATTAAAAATTATTTATTTTATTTAGTTTATAAATTTTATTTAAAATTAATGTTTTATTTTAATTTGAAACGAAATATAGTATAATTCAAATATTTTATTTTAAAATAATATAAATTTCACTTGAAAGCATTTATTTATTTATTTTAGTATAAATACTAATTTAAAACAAAGTCATAAGATTCATTTAAATTAAAGTTTTGATAAAAGTTTTTTTATACATAAATATATAATAAAAATATAGGAATTATTTATGTATAAAAATGTAAATATTATCAAAAAAAGCTATTTTAAAATTATTTAAAAATTAAAAACGAATTTTAAATTTTTGTTCCTTGTTGTTCCTCTACAATTTTGGGGAGGAACAATTTTGTTCTATCATTCTTTTTTTTTTTGAGGAATGAAGAGAAAAATGTAGGACCCACATGTCTGCAAATGGAACAAAAATTCCTTATAAATGGTAAAAAAAAATGAGGAACAAAAAGAACATGACATTCATACTCACATCAAGCTATGATAAATTGATGAGAGTAAGAACAAAAAAGTGTTTAGGAAGAATTATAATAGACTCTCATCAGAATAAATTTATAATCTTATATAGAAATGAGATTTTCTAATTTAAGATAAATATAAATGTAAATAATATATTTAGAGATAATGTTAAACTTCCTAAACTTAAGATATGATAACTTTTAGATCCTTCTCGATCTTCATGATTTTCATAATCTTGGGCGATCATCTCGACTGTTGATCTCAGTCGATCTTCGGTTCTCCCGATAAGCTATAGTGGATTTATTGAGAATGATCAAACCAAGACGTAGAAGTATTCCTTTCTTTTTTTTGGACAATAAAGACGTAGAAGTATTCCATGACCTTAAACTCGTAAAACTTGGTTTGTTTTTCTGTGTTTGCTCTGTTCTTGGTGTTTTTGTGTTTGCATATAATCGCGTAGTTGAGTGTGATACATAATGAGCTTTGATTATATTCGAGTGTGGTGAGTTTGTGTTCGATATAGCACCAAGAAGGAAGACATATAATAATTAAGAAAACATGTCACGAGAAGGAAACACATATTAACTAAGAAGTCTGGCTTCTTTTGTTGACCATTTGCTAGATATATATATGTCATATTTGACTAACTAGCGTAGAAACTTGACAAAGTTACCACTCCAGAGTTGACAAATTAAAGTTGACTATCTCTTTCCCATTATGCATTTAAAGATCGATATGGACTCAAGCTTAATAATACATATAGGCAGTAAAACGAAATGCATTCCTTTGATGTTTAGAAAAATGAATCTTTGGAGAAATAATAAGGGTAAACAGAGACGGAAGCAATGGTTCTTAGACAATGGAAGCATTTTTCTCAAAGAGCTCATCGCTGGCTGCAACGGTCAAACCAATCCTATCCGCAGCTTTTCCTCTGACCAGATCCTCAAGGCCACAAATCATTTCGACCCGAGCCTTTATGTCACTGAAGACCTATACTATACATGTTTCAAAGGTACTATTGAAGATAGATCTTACATTATCAAGAGATTTCCTGAGGAAAAAGTTAGAGGAGATGGAGATGGAGTTAGAGCTGTTTATAATGATATTGTCATATCTGCTCGTGTTACCAATCACACTAACTTCCTCAAGCTATTGGGATGTTGTCTTGAGTTCCCTTTCCCGGTTCTTGTGTTTGAAAACGCGGTGAATGGAGCGTTAGGCCACCAAGGAGGCATTGGTTCTAAGGATAGAACGTTCTTGCCTTGGGATATAAGACTCAAGATCGCAAAGGAGATTGCTAATGCTGTGACTTATCTTCACACGGCATTCCCTAGGATCATTGTTCATAGAAACATAACTCCTATGAGTGTTTTCTTAGATGAGAACTGGACAGCTAAGTTGTCTGATTTTTCGCTTTCTTTAACGCTTCCGGAAGGAAAATCACAGATGGAGGATTTGGTGATGGGATGGCCAGGATACTTAGATCCTTCTTATTTCCATACGAGTATAGTGACAGAATATGCTGATGTGTATAGCTTTGGAATTTTTATGATGGTTCTTCTGATTGGTAGACCGGGTAAGGTGCCTCGATCTGATGTTCGTTTCATCGATATCCATAGGTATGTGAGAGTTTTGCAGGAAAATGGTGAGTTCATTGAGACCATATATCAAGTTGGGGTCAGAGACATTACAGTTTCTGAAAGAATGAAGGTGGATGCGTTCGTTGAGCTAGCGTTCAAATGCTGCGAGAGAAGTATCGAGAACAGACCAAAGATGATCAAGGTAGCCAAGGAGCTTAAGCGGATAGAGCGGTCAATTGTTTCTACAGCATCTATTGGTTTGGTCTAAAGATTATGATCATACTAAGAAATTAAACATGAATATATAAACATATATCTGTTGTTGTTTTTGATTTCTTCAACATATATGTAGGTTCTTGGAAGGACATGCAATAAAGTGTTTGGAGAATCTTTAGGCTGATAGACTTAGACATCTCATAAGACCATCAACAGACAAATGGTCTTCTTGTTTTATGAGTCTATAAATGTCAAATATGCGAGATACTTGGTAAGCAACTTCTCATTGGATTGGATTAGCATCATCACTGCTCTTCAAGTAGTAAACTCTCATTATTCATATTTGAAACTGCGACTCCACACTTTTTTCTTCACCAAACTATTTTACTGTAAACAAAATCATCAAGAGGAGAGCGATTTTCCGGGAAAATTGTGACATATATAGATCAAAACTATAAATGTATGGGCTACATCTTCTTCACCAAATATATATACTAATTCAATGATCTAAACTTGTTTTCTTTCATTTTTTACAATGCTAAGCGACATGATCTCATCATTTAAAAGAAGGTTTAAAGAAATAGAAGTAAAGAAGAAAAAAAAAGAAAAGTAAACTTAATACAAGAGCAAGCGTGTTGCTCGAATCCGAGTAGGATCAGCGAACCGAGAAGAGAAAGACCGAGAAAGATTCTCAGGCTCATCGTAGTCGTGCCATCCTGGACCTTGATCAAAATTCAAAGAGTAATCGCAAGGCTCATAAGCCACGACCTTAGTGGAAGAAGAACGAGAAGGTAAGAGCTTAAGCTTCATCAACAAAACCTTCCACTTGGGAAAGAGTCTTGCTCTTCGTTGTTGTTGCTTCTGTTCTCTACAACTCTTGCTATATCTTCCAAGTACAATTGTCTCTCTGTAAGATGAAGCTGATGACAACACGTTCCATCTCTTCTTGCTTGGAGATTCAAACATCATTTTTTTTTTTTCTTCTGTTCTGTTTTTTCGTTGGTCGAATATTTTGTCTTCTGTCTTTGTGAATATCTTAGCTGTGTTATTTATAAATTTTTGTAGTAGATGAATGGATAAGGAGACGTAAAAGAGAGACTAATTCAAAGTCATCTTTGAAAGGCTTGTGAAACTGCGTTAGCCAACTTGTATGAATAATTAATTGGTGAAAGGGAGCATTTTAAATGCCGGTATCTGACTGGATTACAAAACAATAGTCAAAGTAGACCATTTTTTGTCTTTAAATCTGAGTTCGTTTTGGTACTGACAACTAAATATGCAATTAGTGAACATTAGAGTAATTAGAGTAACTGAGTTTTGGTCTTATAACTTTTTGTTTTTTTCTGCGTCTTATAACTATGATGTATGTGCATGTAGACATATATTTCTGCGTAAAACATCCAAATTGCTGCTGAAATATTATGAAAATTATTACATATATTTCTGTTGAATATTTCCAACTTTTGACAAAAATAATCTGTTGAAAATTTCAGACAAAAAAAATAGGCGAAAATTTGTCGGAAATCTTTTGATGAACAAAAGTGTCAAGAAAGAATAGATGGTATACAACGACTATTTTTCAAAAGATTTATAATTGGTGATCCATCAGAAAATATTATTGTTAAATGTAATAAACTAGGATTTAACCCGCGGTACACCGCAGGGCAAAATTGTATTTTATGTATTTTATATAATAATTTATAATTTATTGTATTTTTAAATTGATATTATAAAAAAAAATCTCATTTAATTATTTTATATTATAATTAATATAGTTGAAATATGTGTACTTAGAAGATTTGTAGGTGTATAAATGATAGTGTTAATATTGGCAAGTATTTATAATCATGAACTATAATAATAATTTGATATTATTTTGTATCAAAAAAATTTACCCCGCGGTATATCGCGGGTCGATTTTTTTAAACTAAAATTTTTAAATTTTAAGTTATATTTTTTTTGTTAATATTGTTTGGTTTGTTTAATATTTAAGATTATATAACTATATTTTTATTTTTTATTCTAGGTTTCACCCGTTGTATACCGTCACGTATTAATATCGACTCAAACCCGTCCCACCATATAACCCCGGTTTGTATTCAAAATCATTTTGGACCTTTTTATAGCATGACTCTGAACCATTGTCCAATTTTAAGCAATATGCGACATTGTACACATACTTTTTCTTTATCGATTGAGTAATATATGTCCGTTTTTTAAAATTTAAATCACATTATATGCAGAAAAATCTATTATTTTATTAATTATATGTATTTTATATAAATTCAAAATAAATTACTATAAAATCATATAAAAGTGAAAGAAGAATTATATATTAATGTTTAAATTTGGTAGAGATGTTTTAAGAAAATTTAGAAACGAAATCAATTTGTTACCATATTTGGAAGCCACACTTTCTAAAATATTTTTTTGAAAATATTTTGTAATATTAATTAATATATAAACATTTATGACAATGGCATTCTATTGTAAATACTTCTCAACTTCAGGATTTATTTGCTAAATGTACTTCAAAAATGTATATATAGATTTTATATATACCAAATATCAATAGCTCAATTGATCAAGATTTTTAGGCAAAACCTAGAGATCGTGTGTTCGATCAATATCTGCTATAGTAAAATTATGGTTTAATCAAATTAAATTTAAAAAAACCCCTATTTTCTTTTCCTCCTACAAGTTTTACAAGTTGATGCCACCTTCACTTCTTCTCCTGTGTCGTGAACTGCAAACAAAAAAAAAAAAAGAGAAAAGAGAGCTAAGTTTAGTGTGAGGTAGAGGGAGAAGTTGAAGCTTTGGTGAAGAGAGGGAGAGACAGAATTGTCAAGGTCTGGTAGAAAAGAGATTCAACCTAGCAAATTGTTGGTAAAGGTAACGAAATTTTCTGGGATTGTAGCTAAGACATTTTTTCTAGATGTGAAACTTTGCGGATATTGATTTGAGTCAATATTCTTAGAATTATCTGCGTTTTCGTGAGCTGTTCTGTTTAAGATGCGATTTGGATCAGCGTGTATTCAAAGAGAGATCGCGAGCGAACCTTCTGTCTGATCGTCACGAAATTTTTTGGGTAGCTTTAGGACATCTAGGGGAACATTTTCAACGGTGAGATTTGAAAGTGGACGGTTAGATTTTTGTTTCATGATCCCATCTATCAGGCTGAGGGTTCTGTTTTTTTTTATCTATGCGTTTTTATCAATTAATAATCTAAATGCATCAACGATCTATCGCGGAAGTATTTTAGATGTCGAACCACAAGGAATAAAGATTGCAACACTAAAGATGCGAGATTCAAACTAATCTAGAGGAAATGATTTTTATGTTTAGTTGATATCTTATGATTTTAACGATTTTTGAGCCTTGTTTTACCTTCAAATCCTTGCATTTTCATGTCATTTAGATTGTTTAGATTGCATTTGCATCAAGTTCTTTGTCTTTAGGTGTTTGGAGTAGAGACATGAAGAATGGAGCTAAAAGAAGAGTTTTGGACCATAAGAAGCCAAGAAAAGACCAAGGGAATTGAAGAAGTAAAGAGAGACCAAAGGAAGAAAGAAGAGCCATAGCGACCAACTGTAGCAGGGTATCTTGCTTGCTACGGATTAAGGTAGATTAGGATGGTTTAGTTATTGGGTTATGGAGTTTAGGACTAGATTACTTAAGATCCTTACTTATTGGTTGTTTATAAAGCTAGATTAGCCTTGATCATGTTGATTTAGACTTTAGGAATTTCATGCCCGGAAGGTGTTCAATGAAATTCCCGAACCAAAACCTTTAAGTGCTTTACATTCCTTACCTTTGGAAATTGTTGACTAGGGTGTTAAGTGGCTAGATAGACTTGTTTATAATGCTTATTAGTCAATTGATTGCCTTTGGAAGAAGTTGATGATTAATTGATTAGTAAATGGACTAATGTCATGGAAATGTGTTAGTGTTGCTTACTGTTCTATGGCCTAGGGATCATCGCTTATTAGAAGTTATTTGAAGCTCCATAATCCACTTCTTAATCATTCCTAATCAATTCTCTTTAACCCGAGAATTCGCCTTTAGTTATCATTTAGTAACTCGTTAATTTTCTGCTTTGTTTACTTTCGAAACTTGTTAGTCTTTTGCATTTTACTTTCATTTGTCTTGTTTTGCATTGTTTGATTGTTGTTTACTTTGTTAGTAACGTTTACAAAACCAAATCATCTTATTAGCCTAGATTAAGCTTTTGCGTGTATTCCTAGTGAGTTGATCAATTACAAATTGTGGTTCGATATTTAATTGAGTAAAAATACTACATCAATTTGGCGCCGTTGCCAGTTTGCAATCTACATTAACCATTAGGATTTTGTTTTATTGCTTGAGACTAGGCATTTTCTTTATATTGTTAGTTAACCTTCTTCTCTTAGTGTTTTGATCTTTCTCTTTCTAAGGTGTATGCACTTGAGGAGTCACGGTCAAGAACATTTGGTTGAGCGGATTGAAGATATTGGACGATTTGAGAGAGAGAATTCACGGGCAAGAAGAGAAAGGGAACGCATTGAACATCTAACACGGTTAAGAATGGATCAACAACCTCCACCGGTGGTCGATGGAGATAATATGGTCATAATGGAAATGACCAACACAATGTTGAGCAAGTTCCTCGTCATGCACCACGAGCTCTTCATCCAATCAGAGCATTTGATGCACCGAACATACATGGAAATAGGAACGGTATTCGCGCTCCTCCGGTTGAGAACAACAACTTTGAGATTAAGTCAAGCCTCATCAACATGGGTCAAGGCTCTAAGTTTCATGGATTATCAATGGAGGATCCTTTAGATCATCTCGACCAATTTGATATGTTGTGTAGCACGGTGAAGATCAATGAAATCTCGGAAGATGCATTCAAACTTAGACCCTTCCCGTTTTCTCTTGGAGATCGAGCTCGTATTTGGGAGAAGAATTTACCTCAAGGCTCTATCACCTCTTGGGATCAATGCAAAAGAGCCTTCCTCTCAAAGTTTTTCTCCACAACAAGAAGGCAAGGTTGAGAAATGAGATATCTAGCTTCACTCAAAAGAACAATGAGAGGTTTTGTGAAGCTTGGGAACGGTTCAAGGGATACAAAATGCAATGTCCTCACCATGGTTTCTCTAATGAGTCTCTACTAAGCACCTTGTATAGAGGAGTTCTCCCCAAATTTCAGATGTTGTTAGACACGACGAGTAATGAAAACTTCTTGGGCCAAGATGTTGAGGATGGTATGTCTTTGGTAGAGAATCTAGCTCAAAGTGATGGTAACTATGGTGAAGATTATGGCCGCACTTCAAGAGAAAGTAATGAGATGAGCGATCTACACCGCAAAGAAATCAAAGCTTTGAATGACAAGATGGACAAGATGATTCTTGCTAATCAAAAACCGGTCCACTTTGTATCCGAGAGTGATGTCTACCAAGGCTATCAAGAAAACATGGAAGGTTTTGTAGAGGGACAAGAGGAAGTCAACTATGTTGGAGGACAAGGCTACAACAAGTTCAACCCCAACTATAGAAACCATCCTAACCTCTCTTACCGGAGCACTAATGTGGAGAACCCACAAGATCAAAGCTACCCATCCTTTAAACCTCTCGGTTTCACCCAACAACCCAACTATCCACCTAAACCTCAAGGGAACTTCCAACCAAAGCCTCAAGCCTACCACCAAACCCAACACCAAGGGAGTTCATCGAATCCTCTACCTCAAGTGGATGACACAAATGCTCTTCTTAGACAACTTCTAGATGGGCAAGGAAGAGGCGCAATCGAACTTGCCACCCAAATGAAAGGCATGCACACCAAGGTTGATGACCTGTATGGTGAGCTCAATGCCAAAATAGAGCGTTTGAATGCTCATGTTTATAGCCAATCATCATCCACTTCCAAGCATCCCATGGGAACTTTACCGGGTAAACCGGAACCAAATCCCAAGGAGTTTTGCAATGCTATTTTCATAAATGATTTGGATATGGTTGAAAGCTACAAACAATCAAGAGAGGATGGTAGACTTGATGAGAATGAAAAGGTAATAGAAGAGATCTCTAAACTTCTATACGGTCCTAATGTTGAGAACATAGTGGTTGATAGTGATGCGAAGAACAAGAATAGTACTAATGGAAATGATGTGGTAACCAAGAGGATTGAAAAGAAAGATG